TTTTTAAAGCTTCCAGACAATTCTAATATGCAGTTGGGATGAGACAAGAAAATAAGCAATTATGGTGCAATCTTATCCTTGATCGAGAAAGTACAGGGAGAACCTTGGAAAGCTGCCTAAGTCCGGTGGTGGTGGTGGTGGTGCTAGGAGGAGGTTCAGGGAGCTCTTCCTGGAAGAAATGACAGGTGACCCTGTGGGCTCAATGGCAAGGTGGAGGAGATTAAGGCCACACTTGGGACTGAGCTGGGGGTGGGGAGGGCAGCATGAGATGAGCTGGGAGAGGCAGCCAGGCCGCCAATGGCTGAGGGCACTTTGCTCTCTGAGGGAGTTTGCCCAGACCCCAAAGGGAATGGGGCACAGGGACAAGTGTGAAGCCTGGGCGTGACACGATCAGATGTCCACTGACTACCTGGAAAATTTGTATTGCTCATCTAGACAGCAAAAGGCTCCCAGCCCACTGGGTTCATGACCTTTCTGCCAGTCCCCAGGGGAACTGGGAACTGGGCAGGAGGATCCTGGGAGTAGGGCATGATGCTCTCACCCCAAGGCCACTGGGTGCTTCTGGTTTAATCTGAGCTCTGTGGGGGCTCCTTGGGCCAGCCATTCCAGTCCCGGCTACTAATCGGAGCGAGGCGGGAGGGGTTGATAGCAGCTGCATTGATCTTGCCTCTCTTTGGCTCCTTAAAGAGCTTATTGACTGGAGAGCCTGAGGGGGCTGGGACGGGACGTGCACCACAGAAACCTGAGTCTCATCCAATGCTGGGAGGGAGGAAGCAGGCAAGGAAGGAACAGGAAGAAAGGGCCCTTGCAGGCCCACCTCCCACACCCACTGCAAGCTGGCGGTGGTGGCTGCCAGCTCCAGTCTCACCTCTCACCGCTCGCTCCCCTTTTCCACATCCTAGCCACAGAGAGAGGCCCTTTCTCCGCACTCCTCTACCTCTCGATATGTTGTCCTCTCAGAGAAGGACTTAAGCCTTACCCTGATTTACCCAGTCTGACTTCTCCTTTCGGGCCTAGCACAGGTTTCTCTCCACTTGGAAGCCTTCTCTGGGGCCTGTGCTCACCCCAAGGCCCGAATTTACTCTGCTCCTTCACGGAGGGGACGCCGGAGAAGTATCCAGGTGTGTAAAACTTGTCACCCCTTTTGAAACCATCTATAGCATCTCCCTCCCCAGAATGTAAGCTCCTCCAAGAAACTCTCCTTTGATTTTGTGTCCCCAAGTCAGTGCCTGGGGGAGAACAGATGCTCAGTAATGCTGTCTAAACTGAGTGAGTGAACAGTGAGTGCTTTAAAAAGTCCTAAACACTTCCTTCTTTAACCCTGATCCAGCCCAGCCTCCTGGGGATATAGAATGGTAAGGACATTGCCTCATCTTCCACGGACAGGCCCAGTGCAAATCTGGAACTGAGAATATTAGACTTGGAAGGAAACGTGGGCCTTATGGTCACTAAATTCAGTCACTAGTTTTATAGTTGTATCACAGGTCCTCCAGAAGGACCGACTCATCCAAGTCTCATAAAAGCAGATGGTAGGCTATATTAGTGCTTACAAGAGTTTGCAGGGCTGGGGCAAGGCTCCTCAAAAGACCACATGCTCGGAATCAGATTTAATGCAGGACACAGAAATTTACAAGATTGGCCTACAGTAGCCACTCACAGAGTCAAGTGTAAAAGCATTCAAAAGACCGGTCCAAGCGCTAGAGATCCGAAGGATCCAGCCAAAGTCCTGGAGTCCATGGCAATGTCCCCTATGAGTCCAAATCAGGAGGCTGAAGGATCTGTGATGAAAGACCATGGAGAGGTCTGCACCAGGAGGTCCACGGGTCAGCTCTAGAAGCTAATGAGTCTACACCGCATGCCTAAAGCCCGGTGCTGGAAGGTAAAGAATCTGCACCAAAAGCCAGGAGATGACACCCAAGGAGAAGGCAAAGGCGAAGACCAGAGCTCCTCCAAGGGGAATAGCCAAAGCTCCTCTAAGGAAAATCAGCTGAAATTCCTCCCTCCAGTTCTCCTTTTTATATCTTCAGGCAGCAATCCACCTTAAAGTGGGTCTTCCACACCCAGAGCCATGCTGACTCAGTTCAGCTGGGCGTTCCCACTCAAACTGACAATTAATCAATTAACCACCACGTAGGCAGAGGACCCTCCATATGATACTGTGTATGGTCTTGGTGGGGGTGGGTTGTACAAAGCCCACTGAACCCTTTCAGCCTCTCAGGGCCTCCTACCCATCTCTCCCGTGACTGCCTATCTCTTCAGGCTGTTGCGTCAGGGGGTGGGGTGGGGTCATGTCCAAGAGGCTAGAGATCCACTTAAGAAACCTTCCAAGCCCCTCCCTGGTTTGTCTACCCACCCCAGCAAAGAATGCAATGGGTGAGGTGAGGCTCACTCAAAATGGAAGGTCCCCCCAGCGCAGAATGAAGACCTCAGAAATCAAAAGTACTGCAGTGTGAAGTAGAGGCTTCACTTATAATATTGGGGCGGGGGCGCTGCCCAGCATCAAACTATATGGCAGGGAGAAGCTTAAGCTTGGGCTTCTCGGCTTAGTGTCTTTGCCTTGTCCATACTTTTAAGGACCCTCTGATACCTAAAATAACCGTTTCACTGACTGGTATAATTTAGGCCAGTCAGGTCTTAGCCTTTGTTTCTTGGGTAAGCGAGGTTCAAAGAAGCTAGGGGCACATAGAAAATGCATGTAGAAGTCCCACAAAGGGCAATTTCCCTAAGTACATCAGGCAGTGTATGTGGTCACCCTTATCACTGTCACCACCATGTTAGCGACCCAGGTCATGTCCTGTGCTTTTGTCTACAAACCTCAGTTTCCCAGTCATTAAAATGGAGGGGAAAATTCTCTGCCTGGGTTAGGAGAGACTTCTGGAGCAACGTCTGCCCCTCTTTGAAGACCATCTTCCAAAACTTGTGACACCTGACCTCAAGGAGAGAAGGCAAAGAGACAGTGAGCTCTGGAAGGTGAGGCTAGAGGGTATAGCCTGTTTGTGTTGTTTTCTCACTTTTTGTTAAAACTCAGCGTGCCTGCAGAAAAATGTACTGAGAAGTGCACAGCCCAATAAAAAGCTTAAAAACCAAACCATCTGTGTAACCAATATCTAGATCAAGGAACCAAACCTTCCCAGATCCTCCGAAGCTTCCCTTGGGCTCCTTTCCAGTCACTGTCACCCAAATTCACTATGCAGACTTCAAACCCCATAGACTAACTTTGCCTCTTTTTGCACTTAATATAAGTGGAAGTTTACAATAGTACTTCTTTTGTGTCTGCCTTCTTTTGTGTGTTGTGCTTCTGTGATTCACTTATAATGTTGAGTGTCACTGCAGAGGGGCCCTTCTCCTTGTTATGTAGCATTCCATTGTGTGAATACACCGTAATTTATTTATCCATTCGAGTATTGATGGGCATCTGGGTAGCTTCCAGTTTGGAGCTATTACAGATACTGTTAAAATAGCCTGTTTTTAAGATTTTAAACAACCACTTTAGAAGACATATGCTTCAAAGTGGCCAGGAAGAAAATAATTATGCATTTAATCCCTCATTTAATAAACATCTATTAAGCACCCAGTGTGTCCTGGAATGATCTTCTTCCTTTCTTTCCTAAATTTGGCCTTTATAGTCTAGGTGACATCTCGTTTCTTTTAGAAAGTATTTTATCATTGCTTCCAGTCCCCAAGGATGTCTCTTCTCCTCTGAGGACCCAGGCCATGTCTTGCCAAGGACAGGAGACAGATACAGAGCCCACACTGCTGGCTTTGCCCTGCTCCTTCTCTGTGCTTATTTTCAGGTAGGTGCTCCTGGAGAGTGGGTTATGGGTCTTGTGTTTCTCCCCCTTCCACAATGGCATGCACAGTATTAGGCACATTGTAAAGCTCAGCAAATAGACCCTGGGTTTAACTACGTCCCAGCTGTGGAAGGGCAGTACAAGTGCAGGTTTAGATCTAGAATGGTTTAGATCTAGAATGTCCCCCTCAAACCCCCTATGTTTAAAGGTAGGGCTGTAGAAGGTGACTGGATCATGGGAGTAATATACTCATCAGTGGAATAATCCACTCATGTGTTCCTAGCTGAATGTGCCTTTAGGAGTTAAGGCCTGGTCAGAAGAGACAGGTCACTGGCGGTGAGACCTGGGAGAATGTGTCTCCCACCCTGACTTCTCTCTCTGCTTCCTGGCCCACACAACAGGCCTTTCCCTTGTGCCCTGTTTGCATTTAAACCTGATAACCTTGGACTGAAACTTCTGAAACTGAGCCCAAATAAACCTCTCCTCCTTTAAACTATGAGTGTCAGTATTATGTCTCAAGGATGAGAAAGTGTCCAAGACAGCAGGAAGATTCTCTCTACCCATACTCCAAAGATACTGTCTATGCAAAACATGGAAAAGACTTAAGCCAAACATGGGCAAAGCTCATGGACAACAATGGATGGGGAAATGAATTGCATTAGCTTTGAAAGCCAAAATAGCATGAGATGCTATGGTTATCTTCACCTCAGTCTCTGTTCGTGAATGCAAGTAATCATAAACAGTTTGGCAGGTACTGAAGCCTTCGAAAGTGTAAATTTCAGCTCCATGGGTTGATAATCCTATTAGCTCCTCTCAAGGAGCTACAGCAAAGTCTTACAATAAGGTCTAACAGTGAGACAAACTCCAGTGTCACCAGAATTTAAGACATGTTCGCATTCATTTTCATTTCCCTGTAAGCTCCCACTAATCTCCAAATTCCACCTAGTGCGATTGGAAAATATAATCTTTAAAGCCAGATAGACTTAAGTTGAAATTCCAGCTCCTACTTATAACTGTGGCTTTGGACAAATCGCTCAGTCTCTCTAAACCTGAATTTCTTTAATTAGTAAATAGTGATTATAATATTTCTTTATTTCAAATATATTTTCAGTTCTAAAATGTTCATTTAATTATCTTTTATGATTTCTTTCTTTCTTTTGCTGGAGTTCATTCTACTTTTACATTCATTGTGAATATACTTTTCTTTACATTCTTAAGCATAGATATAAGACCAGTTAATTCTAGTAACGGAGTTGCTTTAGAACAGTAACAATTGATTATTTCCTACGGGTCAAGTTTCCCCATTTCTCCCTATGTCTAGTAATTTTGAATTGCATTCTGGACATTGTGAATGATATGTCAGAGAGACTGTGGGTTCTGTATGCTACAATAAAGAATAATAGTGTTTGTTTCAATAGTTAGCTTGACTGACCTCTCCCTGCAAACTGTCACCCTTTCAGTGGATGGAACCTAATATTCAGTTCCTTTAGTCTCAGCTGGGCAACTTTGTTAGCTACTTACTTAGCGGAGTTTGCACACAGAATCTAAGGCTGTTCTTTCTCGTTTTTTCCTTTCAAGATTTCCCTTTGCACTTTCTAAGTGCCGTAACTTCCTTGAAATTCATTCTTGGGTTAATGAGAGCTATTTATCTGGGATCAGAAACAGAAAATCCTAGACTCCCTCTCCAAAGAGCTGTGTGGAAGGTTGTAACAGATAAATCTGTACAGAGCTAGTAGGAGATGCTCAATAAAGTTGCCTATCCATGCTCTCCTTCTAGGCCTCAGTTTCTCCGCCTGAAATCATCCTTCCATAAATGTGGAGAGATTTGTTGTTCTTGAAGTCCTTTGTATTACATCACATTATTCCACCCTTACAAAAATCCCTGAGGGATTTTCAAGGTAGATATCATTTCCCCTCTCTATACATGAGAAAACTAATGTTCCCAGAAGTGATAGGACTTGCCCAAGGCCACGTAGTTAATCGGCAGCAAAGTCAAGACCAGACCCTGTGCTTCCTAATGTCTCTCTTCTCTAACATGTGTTGACATCGAGCATGAGCAAAGCCAACATATTAGAAGCCCAGGCAGGCAGCAGGGAGGGCTTCCAGCTCATATTCTCTGTCCCTACCTGCAGAGGAGCATGCTTAGAACATGCTTTTCTGGGCCTGTCCCTGCTCTAGGTGTGAAAGTCCTGCAGCCTGCAGAGTCAAGTGCTGAGAGATCAGAACACATTGGTCAGTTTGTTTCAGGTGCACCTGAGGGCCCCTACACTTATGATGAGCCCAGGCAGGAGCAGTGTGTTGTCATTGACACTGACACTGACACTGCCTCCCAGGATTCAACTTATGTGCTTTGGGACATGACAACTGGTTTCCCAGCCTGGTAAATGGGAAAAAATACCTACTCAGCCAGCTGTGTAGGATAACGAGATGATGTGCAGGAGATATAAGTACTTTGTAAATCCACAGTGTAAATCCCACAGTGTGCGCCTGTGGGACAGAGCCACCATGACCTCAAGCCTTCAGCCTCTCAGAGCAACACAGGACTTCTCACTGATGGCACCACAGTGAGAGGCATCCTATACAAGGGCAAGTTCAACTGCAGTGCTTGGAGTCTGACCACATTGCCTTCCGATCTCTGCTGCTCCGCTTCCTAACGATGCACCTCAGGGTAAATTATTCCACTCCTCTGAACCTCAGTTTCCTTATCTGAAAAAATGAGAATAATAATTATAATGGTAGGAAGAGTAAATAAATCATAAGATTATTATGAGGATTAAATGTGATTATGTATGTTAAGTGCTTTGCACAGTGTCTGGCATATGGTAAGTATTCAATAAATAATAGCTAGTAATAAAGCTGGCAAATGGTACCTGTGGGTGCTCTTCTCAACAGAGGCTCTGAGCAGACTGTCTGTCACTATGGAAAGATGGATCTGTCATGCCCAATGTTACCTGAGACCACTTCTGCAACCTCTGACCCCAGAGAATTTGCTCCTGTCTCTGGACCTCCTCTCAAACACCCATGAGTTAGATTAGAGCAGACCCTTCAGGTTGCACACGTAACCACCAAGCTGATCTAGGCCCTTTTAGGCAAGGAGGAAGTTCAGAGAGGAAGGAGGGATTGGTCAGCTCGGCTCCAGGCAGATGCCTGCAGGAGCAGGAAGGCGGCCAGACTGTGCTGAGCCCAGGAAATGTGGGCTGCAGAAAAGCCCAAGGGGGGATAGATTTTCTACACAGAACAGGGAAAGGGCAGAGCTGAAGGAACACGGAGCCAACCCCAGCCAGGCTAAGGGACCAGAGGCTCCCAGAGTGGAAGCTGGGGTTTCAGCCACAAATCAAGCCTGCTCAGGCCTCCACCCACAGCCTTCTGCCCCCTCCTCTTCTGATGGGAACAGGATTCAGTTCCATCCTGAAGTGAGCTCATTCCTGGGCCTGGCCCAGCAAGGCCTTGCCTGGCACTTCCCGTTCCTCCCTCGCTCTCCACATGCTCCCGCTAGTGGTGGTCAGCGGGGAGCTGCAGCCTGGCTTTGCCCTTCCCCACTCTGCAACCCTGGATGCGTCACTCTAACCCTTCCCAGCCACTCACAGTGCTGCCACAGACAGAGGCCTGAGAGGGTTGTGTCACTCACTCATGCAGTTCTTCCTTTTGTCCAAGGACAGTGAATGGCACCTACTTTGGGCCAAGCCCTGGCTAGAGCAGAGCTTTTCAGTTAATGGGGGCCCTTGTTCAAAGGCAGACACTGACTTGATCGGTTTCAGTGAGGCTTGAAAATCTGCAATTTTAGCAGAGTCTCAGGGCTGTTGCAGCTGGTGGACTGTAGACCACACAGAGACGCTAGGACAACCATTCTGAGCCAGATGTGCTCTGGTCCTCTTGGAATTCGGAGTCTAGTGGGCAATGTGGAAGGAAGAAACTACACACTCAGCTGATGCTAGTGTCACACTCATAAGAACAGTGAACCTGGAGGTTATGGAAGGAAAAGAGAAGCAACTACACCCACCTTCCCAGAAAAGATGAGCTGTGGGGGAACTAGTTGGGTCAAGAGAGAGGATAGTGGGAGGGAAGATGGTGGGCCAAGACAGCATGTGGGAAACCCTCAGGCCAGTGTTGGACAGGCTGGAAGAGCTGTCCAACCAAACTGAGGAGCTATAGAGGAGCAGGGGGACAGGAGAGCGCAAAGGCTGGCAGAAGCTGGATCTTGACGGACTCAGCCACACTGCTGAGCTTGGTTGGGTCAGTGGCAGGGGGCCTTTGATGGACTGGAGCAAAGAAGTGATGTGTGGTCAGATCTGGGAGTCTGAAAAGTTCCCTCAAGCTGCTGTGAAGGGAGTGGCCCTCCATGCTTACCCCAGCTGGACTTCTGCAAGCAGGGACAAAGCATCCTACACATTCCCCCTTTTCTGCTTCTTGCTGTGCCCCAACATCATCGCCACAGCCACAACAGGTGCACCAGCCCAGGAGCTGTAAATTAGCAGCCAAGCACAGCCCGGGGGCCTCAAGTGCTGCCCTGACCCTATCCGAGATTGCGGGGTCCCAGAAGTCAGCCTAGGCCTTAGAAAGAAACAGAAGCAGGACAAGTCATTTCAGCAGCACACTCCTGACTCAGACCTTCAAAGCTCAAAAGTCAAAACCAAAAATATTCCTGAGCTGGAGCTTCAAAGGGCCCCATGAGCCTTCCACTCACTGAAGGAAGGCAACTGAGCTACACTGCAAGATGGAAGACGGAACAGAGTTGAAGGCAAGGGGCGAGGCTCCACCCATCCTAGTGAGACATCTAGAACCTGGACCATCAGGGAGACTTGAGACCATTCTGGAAGGCCAAGCTGCTGCATGGTCACCCCCGTTGTGTACCCCGAGGATCTGAGCTAGGAGGGGAGAAGCAGCTGCCCTTGAGATAGGATCCACTTCCAGAGTCCCACTTCTTGGGTTGCCCTTGCCATATGGGTTGGCAGTCAAGGGGGTTGTTGAGTCATGCATGTGATTTGTTATGTCTCCTGCATGACAAGTGGGTTAAGCTAAATGATGCCAATATGAATCTGGAGTTCTGTGGAAACTCTCAGACCCTGTGTGCTCCATCCCATGGGGAAAACACATCTTTTATCCTTCACCATAACTGACTTGTCTTGACCTGTGGCCAGTGTCTATGAGTCTTGGGCTCTACCTGTGGGTCTGTGGTCGCTTGTCTGGCACAGGAGGTGGTGCAGGCAGTAAGGAGAGTAGCAAGAATATTGCATGTGCAATTAGAGACTGCTTAATTCCTGGCTGTGCCATTTCCCTATCCCACCACGTGGAATGAGGTCTCACGTTCTCTGAGCCTCATTTTCTGCATCTCTGGCATGCAGATAAGACTTCTGTCTCCTTCAGCAGAGGATGTGGGCATGCAGCACACCAGCAGAAAACATGGGACACTAGTCAGACCTGCCAAAGAATCATCATTTTCCGGGTCCCCTGGTCTGGATGCCTGGCAGCCCCACTATGCGCATGTCAGTGCATCTGTGCCAAGGCTGCCCCATGCCAAGCCTTAAATTCCCAATTTGTTTCCAATACACTCTATTAAGTAGAGGGAGGAACACTGACTTCCAAGCCAAGAGCCCTCTCTTCAAATCCCAGCTGTCATACAGACTAGGTGACCTTTGACAACTCACCCTTCTTCCCCAAGCCTGTCCAGACTGGAAATACACACTTATGGGATGCTTGTGAGTATTAAATGAGGCATCATCTGCAAAGTACTTGGCACATGGTAGATATGCAGCGAACTTTTTTTCCTTCCCTAGGACAATGTACGAAATGCACATAATGCTGTGTTTTCTTCAGAAAGCATCACCCTGGCAGGAACTAAGCCCAACCCCGACTCAAGGATGTGCTGTCCCTCTCCAACCTTGCTCACCTTTGGGGAAGGGTCCTTCTGCCTCACATCTGCCCTTGTCCTCCTCCCGCCCACATCCCCCTGGTTATCTATTCAGTCACCAGGTGTTGAATGGCCCCCTGCAGAGTGAGCAAGGGAGAAGATGGGGGTGTGGGAGGGAAGACATGGAAGACATACTGAAAGCTGACCATCTATGCGGGCTGTGATTCAGACACACAGAAGCTCAAGCCATGCAATGAAAGCCATCTGAGGGCCTGGCATCCCTGTCAGGTACTGGGCCTGCCACAGAGGCAAGGGACTCTTTCTCTCTGAAGACCACAAGGGTTTGCCGAGGGTGTGAAACACACCTGCTACCATCAGTCCCAAGGCAAGAAGCGCCTCATGGTTGGTGTCAGTGAGGTTAGAGGAGACCCCATCCTGGCAGTGGGGGACATGACTTCAAGTAGGGCTGCTTTAGTTTGTTGGGAGCCCCTGGTTAGTTGTCCTTGCCTGTAGGTCTGAATGGCAAATAGGTATCGGGCTATTTCAGAGTTGTTTGGCTAAAAGCCACCAGATCTGGGTTCAAGTCCCACTTCTGGGACATTGCTGGGAGCCCTATGCGAACTGAGCACCCTCTCTGACCTCTTCTTTTCCTCCTAGGCCTAATGGGTGAGGAATGCCCTGTCTGTCCCCCAGGACCACCAGGAGTATCAAATGAAGGGACACTGGGACTCTCACTGAACCTGGGAACCTTTGTAACTGGAGTGGAGAAACTGATTGTATCACTCTCAGTGAGGCTACAGGGTACCCTCTTCCCCCAGGAAACCACAGAAAGGTAGACCCAGCTGCTGGGGAGCCCTTGAACATCAAAGAGCCACAGGGCCTGGTTCACAACCACAGTGCAGGACTGGAGCCAGGGTTTCCGGCAGGCCTGTGCCACAGACCTGAGCCCTGCTCTGGAGGGACCCGTTCTGTCAGGGGACACAAAGTGACCTTCAAAACTCTACCCAGAATGAACTAGCTCTGTTTTCATCCCCCGCCAGTCCCCAAACACTTCCCTTCGCACCTTAACCCCGCTGTCCTGAATGTGCCCCCGCTTCCAGTCCCTGGGGTTCCCAGGCAGGGTGATCCGACTCAACCCCTTGGGGACCCCATCAGGGGTGTTGGAGCTGACAGGTGAGCAGGCCTGGCCTGCAGCCCCTGCCTCCTCCACTCAGCATCCTCCCTAAGATGTCACGGGACACTCGGTGTTTCCTTCCTTGTTGCTGGATAATTAAGCGTCCTTGCCCTCAGTTCCCTTCCTAATTATTCATTGTGAGTCATTAGTGGGTAATTGGACAGAATTACAGAACCTTGACAGCTCCAAGAGGCCCTTCCCAGGGGCTTCGCAGCCTCCTATCCTGTTACTCCCAGCCAAGGTGTCTGCCAGATTTCCTCTTCTCATAGTCAGAGTTGACAGCTGGCTCTGTCCCTCACCTCTTCCAGAAGGATGGAGCAGGGATCATATGTTAGCCAGCCTGGCCCTTCATGCTTTGCCCTTTCCCTGGCAAATACTAAGTGCTCAATAAACATTTACTCAGTGAATGAATGAATGATGGCATTTCACAGATAAATGCATCCTATTTCACCCCACAGCTTTCATTTATGATGTTTTCTGGCATTTATGATGGAGGTGGTAGTCAAAATATTTCACAACTAATGCTCAAGACCCCTGAGGCAGGAGCTAAAGGCAGGAATCCTTGGAAGCAGGTACTGTTCCCAGAACTCCAGGAAGTTACACTTCAGCAGTAGAGGTGGAAGAGCCCCAGTCTTTCAACCCCATCCTGGTACATCAAGCTGAATAGAAGGTGTGAGTCGATCT